AAAACAAAGCTTTTGAGGTGGGAAGACACAGGTTTAATCCAGATCTTTTGAGATGGGAAGATCCACCTTTACCCAGGCTGGCAGCCTATGTAAAGGACATGGGAGAAGGAAGCTTGCTCTTTGCCTGCTTGCTCATGCTTTGGCTGGCAAGTCCATTCCTTCACTGGCATTATAGATTCCAGTACATACGGAGACCAGCTGAGAAGTCCAACCTTGTGGACTGAACAGCTCTTAGATTCTTAGATGTTTTGTTGCTGGCCCGCCACTGTTGGACTAGCTGGATCGCAACTTGTAAGCCATTCTGACTAATCCCTAAATATATATATAAAACTATATGTATGTATATATAATAAATGAATGTGTGTGTGTGTGTGTGTGTGTGTGTGTGTGTGTATCCTATACGTTATGTTCCTCTAGAACCCTGGCTATACCAAAAGTCTATGAAACAGCGTGAAAGAAATTTGATTGGAGAGTGAAGGGGAAGGATGATATTTCAGTGTTTCCCAGGATAGGTATAAAGATAGAACTAATTTACACAACAGATGCCCAATTGCTCATAAATTTCTGAACCACTATAAAATGGTAGCAGATAAATTACAGCAGATGTTCTGTGAAGAACAACTCCCGCTGAAATTGAGCATGGGGTCCTAAAAGGCTTATCATCCCTGGACAGCAGAGGTCACAGGTGTGACACCTTTATGACCCAGAGACACCTGTGCAGGCAAAGGGGCTTCCCAGGTGCCCACAGGATCCTTGGCCACCTCTCCTCCGAACTCCACTTCCAGTCAGCCATGGTTAAGGCCACAACACAAGCGCATCACAAGATTTTCCACATGAAAACTTTAATTCAAAGAAAAAAAAACAAACAAACCAAGAAATCGTTTTCCACAAATGACCAAAACAATAAATTTCACAACAGAATTTGTAAAAGCAGACAACACTGATTACTTTCTTTAATCTAGAGGGAAAGTAAGAACAAGCCTTTTGAAACATCTCTACTAAGAAAATAACATGAAAGTTTTCCAAACGAATTTCAGATTCCTCCAGTCTACTAGAATGAAGATTTTAATGATGTCTCCAGTAACATTCATTTAATGCAGCCATCTGAATGCAAGAGCAGAAAGTAAGACAGATCACTATAACTTGCAGTACCCAAAGGATGTTTAAATGCACCAGCGAGTAACAGAAATGAGAAACAAAAACAACACAAGACAGGTGAACCTTTGCTCCTCCTGTTGAACATCGTGGTGAAAACACTTTAAGAATGGGTGCTCATGGTTCCTCATGGCAAGAGTTTACAGTGGAATAGTAAAGTAAACTTCTGAATGACAGTCTGCTGGGCGGCTTGGCTCATGTTAACATGGGGGATGCATGTTAGTATTCACTGTCATCCTAGAGTTTTCCCACACGAATCTCTTCCTGCAATAACCAGTATGAACCCAGTGTCGAAAGAAGTGAGTAGACAGACATTGCCAGGTTTCTAGGTTAACACTAACTCCAGCCATTTTCCTCTAAAACTACCCCTCCCTTGATTCCAGTATGTAAATGTTCAGATTATAACACACACACACACACACACACACACACACACACGTACAGAGAGAGAGAGAGAAAGGAAAAGGAAACTATTCTAAAGCAACTAAACAACTATTTCCCAATTCTCCTGCAACAAGGGAATCTTGCTCTAAACAGTCATTAAAGGCCTGCAGGTGTAATTATAATTAAGATTTTAAAATGCTTTTTTTCCGTGTTACAAAATACAGATTTTAGAGGAGCCTGAAGAATAGTTTTAAATTGCCTCACTAAATCAGTTTATCATAAATGCAAAAGTTTGACCTTAAGACAAACAAATATTCCTTGTTCATTTAAACACTTCATTTTAAAGAACCTTTTTGGCATGTAGGTTTATTTACCAAAATGATTTTTTAAGAACTACCTCATTGTATTTGTTTTTTCCTTCTCACCCCATCTTACCTTCATTCCTAGTAAATTATGAAAATCAGGAGGGCATGGTACAAAGTGTCAAGGCTGTGACAGGTTTTTATTACATCTTCATATATTTATATATGTAACACTTAACAAAAAAAAATCTTAAAACTCTCTTAGTAACTCCTGAGTTATAGATCTTCTTTCCTTTAAACTGAAAAATATATTCTCAAAACCTAAAGCAAAATAAAACTATACAATGATTTTAGAACCTGACGACTAGCAGATAGATTTTTCAAGTCCATCATGATTATTTAGAATTTCCTGTGAGAATGAGCTTGAAAATGCAAAATGATACAATAATCTTAGGTCAGAAACATCTCCACCATACAGAAATATATAACTATTTATCACTTTACAGTATTTCAAAATATCTTCACATATATTTTCTCCTCTAAAATATGAAAGCAAAAAATATTATCAATGCACGAAGCTAATCAAGCAATATAGCATCTATTTCTTGTGAAATATAAGTTTATCAATAGCCCATAGGTAGCATCCTTGCAGCCCACGGAACAAAAAAGACCATCTAAGACCTGTGGATGTTCAGCAATGCATCTAGCTACTTGGCCATGCTGCACGGCATTTTCTGGAACAGCTTCCCAGCAAATTTCTGTAAGCATATGGTAGTTTGGAAAACACAGAACATAGAAGTCAGTTTCAGAGGGCTATGTGATATCTAACACACACATAAATACACAATCTATAGATCTTACGTTAAAAAACTATTAAATGTACAAAGTGCTCTTAATAGAAAAAATTCGAGATGCTCAATTTTTATCAGCAAAAGGAATGACGTCCTCCAACTTGTTCTTCACTGAGTTATTTTCTCCGCTATTTACAGATTAAATGTAGGAAACTTTATTAATATGCAGTTTAAATAACCACCACGAGAAAAGGCCACTATTTTAGATGGAAGCCAGGGCGTTCTCCTCTTGAGACCAAATATTCTCAAATTGAGTAGCGTAATCTAACAAGATCATTGATAAAGAATAACGTTCTAGAACCTAAATTGTTAAATGCTTTTATTTCTAAGGGTTTGGTTACACCATAATTACATTGATTTAGATTATATTGACTTTAGCATCTGGTGGCCTGTTTTTAAGTGTTTTTAGTATCTGACCCCATATTTACTTAAAGCGAACTTATTTATGCGTATGTGTGTGCTTGACTGTATGGATGTGCACCGCATGCATGGAGCTCCCCCTTTGCCCAGAAGTCAGAGCAAGGATCCCCTGGGAGTAGCTGCAGCTGAGAACCACCAAGGACAGGTGCTGGGAACTGAATCCTGGTCCTCCGGAATAGCAGCAAGTGCTCTTCACCACTGAGTCATTTCTCCAGTCCCCTGGTCTCATGTTTTTTTATACTAAATACCCTTAAAGTGGTCTGAGTGCTTCACTGTATGTTCAAAACTAAGATATTTTGAACGTACTTGACCATATTCCTACAATTCGGCCTAACTCGGCAGTCCTCTCCTATCCCTGAACCCTGTGTAAAAGTCTACTGAGATCTTTAGATTGGTGCTACAAACACCGCATGTGAAAGTCCATACATTCCTTGCAGAGAACTGCAAACCGAGATTACTACCTCGAAATCTTAACACCTCACAAACTGGAACAAGCTACAGCTGGTTATTACAGTAACTAAAATGATAAAGTGCTTCATGTCTTCCAGGGATACGATACACAAACATGTATCACATTTGTGCCATTATGATGCACGAAGAAAATCAGGGATAATAAGTAACTGGGCTAATGTGTAAATTTAAAAACAATATTTTTTTTTTTTATTATTTCTAAAAGCATAAGATTGCTGGGAGTATTTTGTAGGAACCATCACTGAAAGTGTGGGCTGAGAAAGCCAACAAGACGTTTATATGATGTGCTACAAAAGAGGAAATAGTAAAAGTTTCCTGTGGCCCAGGGGTAAGGGTGGGGTGGGTGTGTGAAGGCATATAGGACTTTTCTTAAAAGCTGCAGAGAGATTTTTTTTTTTTTTACAGTCGACTCCTTGCTAAATAAAAAAAGTAAAAACATCTCCTGTTCATCGCTTTGTCTGTGTTTGTGTGAATGTTTTGAAGTTCCTGTCACAGTGTTTGATTGTCTTCTGATTTGCAATAATAATTAGCAATAACACTGTAGAAAATAAACCCTTTAACCAATGCTATCCAATTCTATACTTAATAAAAGTAAGTATATATAATTTCAAACTGTTCTTAGTTTCAAATGACAAACAAAAGATGAACATACTCAACACATAAAGGTGAAGATACACACATACAGACACTGTGGACTGATGACAGTAATATAATCCTCATGGCATCAATTCACTAACAGCTCAAAGGACAGATTTGCTTGTTGTTGACAATACAAAGAGACATTTTTCAAAGTGAGTAATTTTTGTGATATTTTTAACATTCCTCAGTGATTTGCATCCAAAATCAACCACCAATTTTGTATAGAACAGCCACAAAAACCTAAGTCTATCATTGTTCTGTTTTTTTTTAACGTAAACACAAGAAATAGTTTCTAAACACTTAATACTAAAAAATATTTATTATTATAAACATAAAAAAAATCCTGAAATCAGACTATTAAAAATTCTGCTCTGCTCCACCTGAACATTGGTATAGGAGAGGGTCCTAAAGCATACTAGAAAACTCATGTGAAAGATGACAAAGATGGTAGCTCAAGCAAGAAGAGGGAGAGGTACGAGAGCAAGGCGGCAGACGAATGGGAAGGACAGCCAGCACAGAAACCAAAACTCTGAACCCTGACTGAGGCGCTGTAATAAAAGAGTCCAGATTGGTTTCTGGATACAACTGAGAAGACCTGACTCATCCTTCCAGCTTCAAACGCATGTAAAAGGCAGGTGTGACTGCATCAGGAGGGGGGTGGTTTCTGCATGGATCTCTCAAGAGAACTTGCCGAATACCAAATGCTACGTGGCTGTTTCTAGATAACTTGAAAAATATCTTTAAAGTGACTGTTATATACAGAATTTGAAAACACATCCTAAATATATTCTTTTATTTGATCCAGTCTTAAAACTTCTCATTAAATATCCAATCCATTGTGATCCAAAATAAAAACAAGAACCAAGGGCTTACAACGAAAGTCACAGGCGGCCAACATTTTAAACGTGACCTCATCTCTGATCTTCAGGATAAATCAGACAGCAGTTTTTGACTCCCTTAACCAGAACTGGTTTGTGGGTTTGTGACATTTCGCTGTGACACTCCCTCATTGTGGCAACCGGTATTTTCAGAATTTTCAGAGTCTTTGCTCTGGTTTTCCCCCTCTCTATCTTTTTCAGAGGAAGCTGGGCATTCTCTTTTTCCTGCGGTGTCAGTAACTGTTTTCTCGGGTGGAGAATTTGCTTCTTCATCAACAGTGCTGTCTTTTCCTGTGTTTTTTGTCTTGGTATCTTCACTGCTGGGCTCTGAGCTCAGCTTCTCTGTCTCCTCCTCTGGCTCTCTAGACGCCCCCTTTTTTTCTTCCACTGTTTTGCTATTTCCGTGAATCGCTACTGAGGAATTTTTGGAGTCCTTAGATTTCTTGTGTATAGAATTTTGACCGTTCGAACCTGAAGTGGGCAGAGTAGGCATTTTCTGGGCTTTGCTTCTCTCTGGCTCTTCCTTTTTAGGCGGTCCCCAGATGAAATTCTCTGATGGCGTGTAATGTTTCTGGGCAAATCGCAGGAGCTTCCTTCTCTCCCTTCTGTCTCTGATTGTATAAACAAAATACTCCAGAGCACTCTGCTTAATATTAGGGATGGTATTTTCCACTAGAGCCTCGTGAAGAATAAATTTTACGAGAGGAGATTTAAAACTCTCATACCCAAGCTCACCAAGGCTTTTAAGAATTCGTGTAATTCTTAAATAGTTGTGCTGAGACCTGAAAGAGAGAATTGAACAAAATGAGAGAGAAAAGAATCATGTGAAGAAAACAGGAAAATCTAAATGTCGAGAAGGTGTTTATGAAAATGCAAAGCAAGAAAATAATCCTTAAAGTGACTTCAAAAGTAAGCCACATTGGCCACTGTTAAAAACAATTTTATTAACATATGTGAAATTTAATGGTATAATCTAACGTATGTGAAACTCAAATGTAAAAACAAACTCTCCTCTTCAGAAGACTCTTCAATGTAAAGAACCATTGAGATTGAATGCATCTGCACTGGTGTTACTTTGTTTATTAACGTCACCGAGGACCAGTAGCTGCAAGAGCAGCTATGTACAGACAGCCAAACATCAGGTTAGCTGATGCCGCCATAAGAAAAGCAAAAGATCAGAGAACGCAAGAGACGTGTTTTTATTACAGTAATGTTACAACGGCTCTGTTTTACTATTATTGTTGTTGTTGTCTCTTACCAGGCCTAACTTACAAGCCTCACGATAGAACAGAACAGAGTATATAGACGACTCTGTACAATTTGTGACTTCAGGAATCCACGGGGAACTTCCACACATGCGACCTCATAGATGTATGCTACTTAGCACAGGTAACCAGGGGTAACCAGAGACACACTGGCTAACAGCTGAATGAGGTCATTAGTAGCACCAACTGACAAGCAAAATCCGCCAGATGGGGTAACTAACAAGGAAAGCAGCACTCTGTCCTCTCTCTGGCTAGAACAATTCTGACGAAGGGAACAAAACTGACTTAAAGGAGCCTGCCTTAGCTGGAGACTGCCAGAGCCGGTCTCGCCCTAGCTTTGTTACAGTGGTGGTCTGAGCAGGAACAGCCCCCATAGAATTGTGTGTTTGAGTGCTTGGCCATAGGGGGTGGCACTGTGGGAGGTGCTTTCCAATAAGAGGCGGTCTGATTGGAGCAAGTGTGTCACTGTGGGGGTGGGCTTTAGAAGGCCAAGCCACGCCCAGTGTCATTCTCTCTGCTGCTGGCTGATCCAGATGGAGAACTCTCAGCTACCTTTCTAGCACCAGATCTGCCTGCTTGCGGCCATGCTTCCCTCCAGGATAACAGTGGACTAAACCTTTGGAACTATAAGCCAGCCCCAATTAAATGTTTTCCTTTAAAAGAGTTGAGTGGTCACAGTGCCTCTTCAAAGCAATAAAACCCTAAGACAGTTATTTAACTGCAGTGAAAAATTATGGTGCCCATCTAGAAAGCTTCAGTGTTTTCACCTGTATAAAAAAAAAAAAAAAAAAAAATGAGGGAGGGAGGGTAGGACTGAGAGGGAATGAGAGAGGGGGCTACAGCTGGGATACAAAGTGAATAAGCTGTAATTAATAAAAAATAAATTTAAAATAAAATTAAAAAAACCTTAAACATAAAAAAAAAAATAGGAAAAGAGGTCAGAATCTAACTGTTGTAAAAATCCAGTGATACGACGCAAGTGAGAGACATTAACAAACTCAGTAGATAGTGGACATTAGCTAGAATTACTTTGTGTGTGCATGTGTGTGCACAGGTGCACATGTGTGGGACTATACAGGTGTGTTTGCATGGGTATCCTTTGGCCTTGTTTCTCCGTCATCGTTCACCTTGCCCATTGAGGCTGTCCCTCTCATTGACCTCCAGGGGGCTAGGCTAGCTGGTCATCAACCCCCAGGGACCTATCTGTCTTCACGCCCCCCTGCCCCGTGCTCGGGCTGTCAGCACGTGGCACACACCACCCTCAGCCGCTAGCACTACTACCATCCACTAGAGCAGAGCTGAGTTTTGAGTAACATCCTATCTGTACTCATTTTGACCTATTTCCTCCATCTTCGCCATCCTCACCTCCCCCTCCCTTATCAAAAAGCTTCAAATCTTACAAGAACCTTGGTTCCATCCAAACATGCATTTCCCCAATATGACACATATATTTTTTTTTTTTACTTCAAAACTGAGGCCATTCTTGGCGTAGTGCTTTCCAGATTTACTCTGTCACGATTTCTAACCCACGTCCCCAGCCTTGTTTACCCGAATACACTCACCTTAGTGAACACACCTATCTATCCCCCCCCCTTCCATGATCATGTCTGCTGTTCACAGGCCAGGCACGTATTTGCCAAGACCGCTACACGACAGAACTAGCACTTACTTCTGAAGTCACAAAACCTGTTTCATAGCAGAGACTGAACTTTCTTGAAAGCACGGCACATATCTGGCCCAGCTTCCAAAAGTGCTTGAGTTTTTTTATTAGAAGTAATTACCAAATCACTTGGGAATGTTGGAAAACGATGTCAAATTATTTGAGATGTAAAAGTACATAGCTCCTGGTCTTCCATTTTAATGAGAAAATACTGACAAAATCAAAATCTGAGTTATTTGAGCTAACTAACTACTCTAATAGAAATTTTATTATCGCCATTCTTTCGGGTGTTTGCCCCCAAAGTATTACTCTAAAATTTAAGATTTTTTTCAAATCTTAAAGGTGAAACTTAGCACACATGTCTCGGTTTTATGAAACTGTAATATTTGAATTAAAAAAAGAACTTATTCATGTGTCTCTGTGTGTCTGTTCAAGTTTATACACATCATTTGTTGTACAGGATCTGAAGAAGATCAGAAGAGGGTACTAGAGCCATAGGAACTGAAGTTACAGATAGTTTGAGGTGCCACATGGGAGCTGGGAACTACAGCCTGGTGAGACTCTGCTCCAAACTGTTTGGAGACAATGGGACCAGGGCAATGTCATATACCATAAATGACAGGACTGACCTAGCTGCCACATTCATGTAGAGCTCTTATATTGAAAGAATGCATTGACAAAGCTTGAAAACCGACTGTGAGATGGGAAGACAAGAGGGAGAATGCTTACGAGGAAGGAAACACTGCACTATGAAGCCGATAACAGATTTGCAACCAGAACCACTCTAAGAAGAACAGAAAACATAGTATTTGCATATGCTTTCATTTATATTTACATATTCACAAATTAGAGTATTTATGTAACAGCAAAAAAATGCTATGCGCAGCTGAAAAAATAATGATTAGGATTCTAGAATAAAATTATCTATAAAACAAAGAGATTGGTTGTTTCAGTACGATCTGAAATAAATGCGGCAATAAAAGGCAAAATGGCAGAAAGAGAAGCTAAATCTTTCTGGAGCTCTTCATAGCCTTGGGCTTCTACACCAGGGAATGTAGAAGGGGGCTGGTATGTAGAGAAAAGGCAGTGCTAATTCTATCAGAAGACTAGATAGGTACCGAGAGGACACAGGAAGGAAACAAAACCTCCAACACAACTAAGGATGCTTCAAGAATTCGTTCATTACGGACAAGACCTGGGCTGCATCTCAGTGCTTGGTCTGCATATCTGTACTTTCACGCCTGAGCATATTTTATTTTCCTCCACTGAGCTATAAACACAACCAAATCTCCTTGGCCTATTATAAAAAGTTCAAGATGCCACATGGCTTCAATCACATATAAGTAATGACATTTGAGAATAGATCACAGAATAATACAAATGAAGATGAAAGTAGAGGAGATGGTCATATCATTCCGTATCATTTGTTCAAATCTAATCAATAAAAACTTTTAGCAATGAGGAACTTGTAGGAAGTGTCTATAATCCTGGAATTTGGAAGATGGTGCCAGAAGGATGGCAAATTTGAACTTATCCTGGACTCAGAGACTATGTCTCAAAAATAAACAAAGAAAGTCTTGCAGAGAATCCTGGTTTGGCTCCCTGTACACACAATTAGATGCTCACAACCGCCTGGGAGCCCCAGTTTCAGGGGATCTCACACCGTCTTCTGACTTCTGTAGGCACACATGTTTACACATGTGGTACACACAGAGACAAACAGGCACATATATATACATGTACATTTTTTTTCAAATTTTTAAATAGATCCCCCCCACCCCCAGAAAAGTTCAGCCAGTGCTAGGAAGGAAGAACAATATCAGACGGGAGTGGGAGAAGTTGCTAGGTGGGACAGGGTGAAAAGGCCATGAGTTCAGGCCCTTCTTCTGACAGAGGCTATGAGACGACCTAATTAAACAAACCCTTCAGAAGAAGCTCTGCTCTTTAGGGATAGAAGAAAAGACTAGACTACCATACCCTGGGCAGGATGTAAGCCTTAGCTCATGTTCTGTCCATGACTTATAACTTCGAACAACAGTATACCAAACAAGATTGTCATTCTAAGCAAAAAACAACAAAAGGAGAGTGGTGAGTGCACAAAAAGTGAGGTTTTCGCTAAAGGCTTACTTGCATGTAGCTTTCTTCAACAGTGTGATGAAGAAACTATGCAGCTATGGCTATCTACATTGGATAGGCAAATGCACACGTGTCTGCACTTTAATCAGCATACCTACCAAACTTTGACCTGAGTCATAAATTACTGTGTCTCCAGTCAGGATCGTAAGCTTTACGTCCATATTTTCAAGGCTTTAGCTGGTCCTCCTATCTTATTTAATAGTGCTACTTACAACAAAGGAAAAAGACTCCTCAATGCTAATATTTCCACTGCTTTTACCAAAGTGAGAGGAAGTTCTAGGAAGATGCAAAACAGTTAAGGAGCTGGTGCCAAAACTCTGATTGTTTCACCAAAGAGAAATTGCTTACGTTGGGTTTTGCTTTTTTTTTTTTCTTTCCTTAATACTTGCCCAGTTCAGCTAATTATAAGGTGCTAAAAAAAATTGCTTAAAATTGTGGGTTTTGTAGTCCAGTACTCATAAGTCACTCTATAATTAAAAAGAAAAAAAATTCAGTGGGAATATGAAGAAAACATTTTTAAAACTAAACTTTGGTTGTAAGTATTAATCACTATTATACATATCCAAGCAAAGAGTGCAGCTAGCCCCATCCAAGAAAGCCCCTTAACTTTCTTTTACAGATTTCAGAATTAACAAGAAATAGGTATCTGTCTTTTTCCTGTCTCATGAAGATAACTGGGATTTCTTTCCTCTATTTTAGGTAGAAGTATAACCACACCAAATGAACCCATCTTTATACATCATAGACCTCATTCAGGAATTTAATCTAAGATGTTTGCATTCATGAGGATATTAGAAACAGTTTGGTACCCAAGCAGCCTATAGTTTAGGAGAGAATATATGAAAATATCATAAGCAAGCATAACTATAAACTCCATGAAACATGGCATAGAGACAGAGAGAAACCACGTTTGGCTGCAGGCAGAGGAAGAAACTACCTTGGAGCAGAACAGTTAGCGCTCTATGTAGAATTTGTTCTGGTCATTTCTGCACTTTGTTTTAGAATGCACAAGAAGGAATAAATGCATTTCTGACTAGATTTTTATTCTTATCCCTGATGGCTAGCTAGTCCTATGCCCAACATCTAGCTAGTCCTATGGCCAACAGCTAGCCGTTCCTGTGTCCATAATATCTGGTAGTCCTATGTCCAGCATCTAGTTAGTCCTATGCCAACAGCTAGTCAGTCCTATGCCCAGTAGCTAGCTTTCCTGTCTGACTAGCTGTTTCAGTGCCCAAATGCTGGCAATTCCTATGTCCAACAGCTAGATATTTCTATGTCCAAATGCTAGCTGTTTCTATGCCCAGAGACTAGCTAGTCCTATGCCTAACAGCTAGTAGGCTCAAGTCCAACATCTAGCTATTTCTATGTACAACATCTAACTATTCCTTATGCTCAACAGCTTTTCTCTGTTCCATGACTAGCTCCTTCAACAGCCAACAGCTACATAGTCCTATGTCGAACACCTAATTAGTCCCATGTCCAACACCTAACTAGTCCTATGTCCAATAACAAACTGCTCCTATGTCCAATGACTAGCTATTCCTACTTTCCAGAGAATGCAGCTGCAGGAGGAGGCCACAGGCTTAGCATTGGGGCTTCACTTACTCATTCAGATGTTGAAATCTTTCTTGCCAGTTTACAGCCCGAGCAACATTTCCAGTTTTGTCAATCAGCTTTATCCCAAAAAATTCTAGCATCATTTTATAAGCCAAGAGGAATCTTCTGATGGCTTCTTTTGTTTTTTTAAATTCCTAATACAAGGAGGAAAAAAAAAAGTTAATTGAAATGACTCAGTAGCAATCAGAACAATAAAATAATATCATTTGGCTACCTCGTGTAGGACGAACTGAGCTTGCATTACCTCAATTTCATATGTAGTTAATTCTTTAGCATAAAAGTTCAAGCCTTGTTCTCTCAGGGGGAAAAGCCTAGTTTGTTAAAAAAAGAAATTAAAAATTTCAATTAACATTATCTTGAAAACACATGACTAACAGAACATGGTTCAAGGTAGAGAACACTTAACTGACCATTGAATGTAAGTGTGGTTGTGTTCCAGTTTTTCATAGTCTCCTTTCCATTTATTTAGGACCTCTTCAATATAAACACCTAAACAGTAAATAGTGAGAAAAATAAGCCACTCATTGAAAACATGGTGATGGCATTTTAACATACGAGTCACCTGAATTTATATTAAAATATTTAGTTTAAAAAAAAACACCCTATGCTATACACTCAGTAATGTAAAAAGCCTACAAAAAAAGCACCTCAAATTAAAAAAAAAAAAAAAAAAGCTTGTATTGGGCAATGTCCTCTAAAGCAGAGGATGGCAAAGGACGGCCTAACAGTTTTGTAAATAAAGTTTTATTGGAACCTAGACTAACTACACCATCTATATACTGCCCACAGCTACTTTTTAGTACAACAGACTTGAGTGTCACAATGCACTATTTTGCAAAGCCTAGTATATTTGCTATCTGCCTCTGTGCAGAAAAAAAAATCTCAGAAAGCATTATCATCTCTGTATGACTAATAAGAATGTACTAATGGAAACAATGCTCTTATGTGGAATATTTGTTCAAGCCACAACCAGTACATTAATAACAACAACAACGACAATTTGTTTAATGTCGAACACTAGTAACAAAGTAGTCTGGGAGCAGAATATCCATCTTTGTGCCTGCAGAAAGTAAGCCTTTTCACTGTGGCCCACGTTCTCCTAAAAGAACTGAATGAAATCCTCTCTATTCTCAAGTCTGTGAAGGCCCTTGTAACTGGCCAGTTGGCTAATCTTCCAGAAAAACAAACAGAAGGTAGGAACAGAGAAACGCAGACTCATCTCATTCTCGCTCCCTCGCCAAGGCCCCTCCCAGAATCCCTAAGAAGTTGTGTTAAACCACTCCATCAGTTTTATTAACATGCTAGAGTCACTTTACCCTGCACTTTTTTTTTTTTTTTTAAATCACTGGTAAATACAACTGCACATCTATGGCCACACATTTGCCTCCAGCCTTCTGAGATACCAAAAAGTTCAAGTTAATTGGATTTGCGCGTTTCAGCAACACTCCTCAGGACATAGTATCAGAACTCCCGTTTCCAAACGCCACATCTGATCTTTGAGCTCTCCTTCCAATTTAATCTCCAAAGATCCCAGCACTCTGAAAGGCTTATGTCTTAGATTCCTATTGCTGTGACAAACACCAAAGGCAACGTGGCTCACACTTCCACATCACAGTCCATCACTGACAGGAAGCAAGGATAGGAACTCAAGGCATGGGTTGAAATAGAGGCCATGGAGCAATGTTACTTACCAGCTTGCTCCCCATGGCCTGCTCTGTCTGCAGTCTTAGACCAGGACCACCAGCGCAGGGGTGGCACTGACCCCCATGAGAAAGCCTTCCAAATTAGTCATCAGTCAAGAAAATGCCCCACAGGCCAATCTGGTGAGGTATTTTCTCAACCGAGGCTCCCTCTTCCGAAATGTGTATGTCAGTTGACATGAAGCCGGCCAGCACAGCTTTCAACCTAAGACCTCCATCAGCGGACTCGCACTGCTGTGGATGTCACTGAGTTTTCACTGGGAGAAAATGACAAGAATGGGGATAATCTGGTCACCCCACACTAAACTTCTAAGGAGCGTAGGTATCTGGCTTCTGCTTTGCCTACACGTGATCCAGACACCCACTGTGAGGCACAGTGTGCTGCCTCAACATTTTTGCTTACAAGTTTGTAGTCGAATCACCATAGCAACTGTGAATTTTCACTATGGGTTTGGGAAAGCGCATATGCCATGAGAGGGGCTGTACCGTTGTGAAGGGTGCAAGTTTATTTGGCAGACTTTGAACTGGGATTGCTATAGTTTCAAGGGCCTTGATTTTTGAAAACTGACAATGATAATTCTAAGCACAAACGATGTCTTTATTCATACTGTAAGTAACTTTTAGGTATGGCATGGCAGAAAGAAGAGTGGACCCCGGTGGAGCTTACTCCCACTTTAAAACCAGTTGAGCAATCCAGAAAGACACTCATTTATGCTTCAAATCCCAGTAACAACATCTTCAAGATGAAAAAGGTGACTTTGAATTTGACTCTCTGCAAGGCTTATTCATTTAAAATTCAATGGCCCTACAAATCTCTCCTCTTTTCTGCACACATACACACAGCCTAGGCCCCCCTCCCCCCCCAAAAAAAAACCCCGAAACAAACCAAACAGGCAAACAAAAACCCTGCCCCTACTACCTCTTCAGTTACAGCTAGTGAGAAGGTAGGGCTAACTGAAATCTATTTCTCCACACTTCACCAAATGGATGACCACAACTTGAAAACCCAGGGCCCTGGGGACACATCAGCCTGCATGGCAAGACAAAACAAAGCTAACCACCCAACAAACGCAGCAAGATTACAGGAAGCCCAGAAGAAGAAAAGAACACCCAGGTATATGTTATTATTTAAAATTTGCTTTTTTACCAAGTGACGTACTCACCATCTGGCTTAAATGGAATTTTATTCTTATAAAAGCGAAGGTTGCTCAAGTCATTTTGATATCGGATATCTTTGAAGTTCTGCTAAAGGAAAAGATAAATTAATCTCCACTGTATGGAAACACACACATACAAAAGGCACAAGGGCCCTTCTGATACGTTTTCTTACCAACAGAGTACAGGCAGAAAAGCAGAGAGACAAAAGTTTAAATTTAAGGAGAAAAAGCGCTCCATTTCTTACTGGGTACTGATGTCGGTACTTATACAAATCCCTCGCAGCGTAGAAGCTTCTCTTTGGTTTAGCAGTTGCTTCTGTGGAATCAGCACCCTACGACACAAAGAGGAACTCATTTGCACAGAGAATAATACTGAGAAAGTTCCAGAATAAACTTAAAATAATCCACATCCATAAAGAACCCTGAACTGACGACCTGTACAGATTAAGGAAACCATTGTCTCTTTAACAATGCTTATGAACAGTGATTGCTGGCATCGACCTTCCTTATTTGCACTAAAACTTTCGACCTAGGTTATATCAATAAATAATAAACTTTACTGTTCGATGCCTTAGGAGACTAAATGCTAAGGATTAGTATCGATCCAGAACAGCACTCGGAAGAAATTGAAAACGCGTTTCACCAGGTGTTATACGATGGAGCCTGTGACAGATCTTGTTTCATATGATACTGGGAAAGGGTTAAGGTGGCAAGTCAATTCTACACAGAAGACTCTCATTAAATTTGCACCTCCTGCCCGAGCTTGAAAGTCAAATAATATTTATGAAAGGAAAGGAGGATTTTAGACTAAATTAGCTTTCTAAACTACTTCAAACAAAGCACTATATCTAACAAACACGCAAGGCAAGAGTAATCATCTGCCCAGTCAATGATCGGTGGGATAGAAATCAGCAAACTTGAGATAAATACACAAAGCAAGATAAAGCTCTCTCGGGTGGACTGAACACCGACTCAAGTGCTTTTTCTATGAGGTAGTTTGCTCATACTGTTTACCGAGTGCCACCACTATGATGTCATTTTACATAGATGTGATACATAGATGTCTAATATCCTCTAGCCATCCAGACCACGTAATGCCTGACAGAATGCATTTGTCCAGTGACATGCAGGACAATGAGACGGAACGGGATGAAGAAGGCTGCGGTGCTGAAATAGTTATGTTCATTAAGAAATCTGCCCCCCAATCCTTTACCTCATCATCTCCCACCCTCTGTCTGTGTTGACAGACTGGCATCTTCTAAGCAATTTTCACACGTTTCTGAAGTGGTGTGATTCTCACTCTTACTACAAGCACAGAGACACTTTAACACCATATCCTCCGCTGTTTAACGGTAGTTACACTGTCATGTTACATAAGCAAGGAAAAGCTCAGATTCTGGTTCTTGCCACACTTTTCAAAATAGCTCTGCCTAGCAAGTTTCTGAATCTATTTAGCCTGAGCCACAACCACATGAATCATCGCCTGCATTTGCAGAGAGCACTTTTCCCATGTACTTCCATGTACATTACTTCATTTGAGTCTTACAACACACCTTGACTGACAGTTATTAGTGTCTGCATCTTAGAAACAAGGTTGCTGACACTTAGAGGAACTGAACAAGAGCTCAGAGCCCAGCAGCACGGTAAGAACTAGCTGCTTCCGTGTCTGGCTAATTAGGTCCAAACCAGTTTCATTTCTGCTAGAAGTGATGGGTATTTGAAAAATCCTGTTATAAAGATCAACGACCCAAGATCGCAAGCCAAGAGACTAAGGCGAGTCTAGGTTCTTTTCCTTAGCATTTGTGAGGAGGCCTTAGGCAAATCACTTAGCTGAATCTTAGTTTTATCATCTGTGAAACGAAGATAATGAGTCATGTCCTGCCTGCTCCCTAAGACAGCCATGTAAAAGATTACATCCTTCAAACTGCCAGTGTCTGTCCTGTTCGTTTCTGTACCCTGGCCCCTTTTCCTTCCTTGGCAAGGATTCTGCCCTTTAACATTCCTCTGCCCTACATCATCAAAACTTCCTTCTTCCAAACCATTCCCCACAACCAGCCAAACATGCTGTACTCTCTCCAAAGGTAAGCATAAGACCTCCCCTGACCCAAATCTACTTCATTTGCAGATCATGGCTCTGCTCCCTTTTGAAGGAAAAGAATTGTGCGTGCTCCCTCTCCTTCCAGAGCCCACCCCGTTACCTAAATAATGCTCTGCCCACAGCACCACCTTAAAGTGGGACTACTAGGAACTTTCCAAATAAATATCCATCTAGTCAAATCATGTCTTGGTGGTCATGCCAGGTGACTTCCCATCAGCCCTGGACCCCTTAAAACCCTCCACCCTGAGGCAGTGTTATCATTTGGCTGTCAGAATACCACACACTCTTGGTCCGTTTCCTGTGTCACTGGTCCCCTCTTTTTTGGCTCCTCCTCTTAATCACACCCCACATAGAGAGTGAGGTTTGTCCTAATCCTTCATGACTCCTTGATGATTTCTTATCTTGTATTTATTTTTTTTAAGTACAACCAATCCTAATTGCCTTTCTATAGCTCCAGACCTAGACTGAATATCTATTTATAGATATCAACTACTCAACAATCCCACTTGGATGTCTAACTTCACAGGCTGCCTCATCTCAGTTAATGGTTCCATCTATAGTCTAACATTTACAGGGAGTTGGGTGACCGCAAAGACAGTGGTAAGAAGCCAGTCTGCATCCTGTGTTAAAGGGGAGAAGTGGCTGGTCCCAAGCAGAAAGCAAATGGGATGAGTCAAAAAAACAACAGCAAAAAGGTTATTGAAGGAGTTGGGTAGTACTTACAGAAAAAAAAAATAAATAAATAACACTATTACTCAGGTTGTAGGACAATGACTCAAATGTTATGTTATTTTACAGAGACTGACCTAGTTAACTAGTTTATTTCCAGGTTTTTTGTTTATTTGTTTGTTTGTTTTTTTTAATATTCCAAACTTCTGTCGATGGCTATTTACTTGGGAGACAAACGGAAGGATAAAGCACCGAAATACAACATGCAATACTGTTTCAGGGTTTAACACGCGGTTCTAAACGCAAAAACAACCAGAGCACAAGGTAAGGACGGCTGGATCCCACCCAGCAGGGCCAAGTCCCTCACTTTGGCCACAGACAGACTGACGCTTGAATCTTTGTCTCCCCGTGTGCTCTGGACAAGATTCTCTCCGACACGATCACAATTCTCCAAAATGGGGGATTAAAACGGAATGCACACACGGAAACTGTATTCCATTTCAGTAACATGCTCACTTAGCCCTTGAAGGAAGCCTCCGACTTCCTCAAGAGGTGACCCCTAAAGTCACACTGGACTTTGGGCTCCATTTTCCTCGAAGTTAAAGGGGAGGCCTAATACAGAGCCACCAACCTTAGACGCTGCACACGTCTTTTAAAAATATACAGTTCCTCCTTTTAAAAGTTTCTGAAGCCATGAGAGGTTAAGGGACGCCATCTACCTCTCTTCTAACCTATCTGCCTAACTGTATTGGTCAGTTGATTTAAGCTTGGTTGGATCAACAAGTCTTCTGGGTGAAACGGAATGTTCAAGGAATGTCTTGAAGTCTTTGAAAGATCTCTTTTTGGGGAGAACAGTGGCATTTTAAGTTTGCCTGGGAACCTTCTACAATACTTTTAATGGCCATGAACCCCCCGCTGAGGGGGGGACTAAGGCCCCTTAGACAATTGCAATTGTCTTGTTCTGAATAGTATTTAAAAAATAAAAATAAAAAATAAAACAAGAACACGCACCGGCCAGGTCCTCACAATCCTCTATTTTTAGGCTAGTTCCCCCCCCCCCCCCCCCCCTTCGCATCACCCAGCTGCGCTGCAGAGGCAAAGATTACACCTAGTGGAGTCAGGGTTTGCCTTGGGGGACTTCCCCATGGTGCTCACAGCAAGGCCCCAGCCAGGATCGAGCCATCCGGCGATGCTGGGCACCGCAGGCTGCCCCAGGTCGGGTGCCCGGGCCACGCACGCCCAGCATCCCGCCCTGCATACCCGGGGAGCTGCGCACAGTACCCTCCCCGGCGCCCGGCGCGCAGTCCCGCCGGGCCCACCGTGGGTCCCGGGGCCGCGTACCTGCTCCGCGCCCGCCGCCTCGGCGTGGTCCTCGGGCACCGGGCTGCTGCGGGGCCGCCCTCCGCCTCTCTCGGGAGGCTGCTCGGGCTGCCCCGGCTCGTCGTGCTCCTGGCCCTCGCCACCGCCCGCCGGCCCCGGCTGCTCGGGCTCGGGCTCCGAGTCGGTCTGCCAGGTGGAGTCACAGTCCTCCACGGTGGTGGGCTCGCGGAAGCTGACCCCGCCGAGCAGGTTGCCCATTGAAGAGGCGGCGGCGGGCGCGGGCTGCGGCAGCGCGCTAGGGCCGGGGCATGGCCGCGCTCCGCTCGGGGCGCAGGCGGCAGCTCGCGCGGCCCGAGCCGCACAGCTCAGCGCGGCCGCCGGCGCTCCAGCGCACAGGCGGGGAGGAGCCGGGCGCCCCGGGGCCGCCGCCGCACGCGTCCCGGCCCGCCCATCCCGCCTCCACCGCCCCGCCCCGCCGATGTCAACCCACTCCGGAGCTCGCTGGACCTGCTCCACCGGGACGCGCCCCCCTCCACGGTCCCCAGGAGTGGACAGGGGTCAGCTGCTGCCCCGCCCCATCTAGGCCCGGAGCCGCCCCCTTGGGGCTCCTCCCAGCTAAGCGGGAAGACTGATCCCGCCCAAGTCAGGGAGTGGAAGGAGGTGTCTCCACCAGCAGGCGGATCCTGCCTCACACCCCAGCCTCCAAAGGCTGATCCAAGAGGAAGACAAATTAGCTGCAGCAGAAGACAAAAGCTAATCGTGACAGTGCACCCCTATAAACAGGAAATCCAAGCTTCAGGAACAGTACTTATGGCCACCTAGAGTCCCTGCGGTCTCTATAAAAGTCAGAGCTATCTGTCCCCCAATCTGAAGAGCAAACTTCTCTCAGAAACAAAGGAGCATTAAGAACTAGACCAGCATATCTCATCTATGACTAGCCCACCTTTGTGCTCTATGCAGAAAAGCCTCAGGATCTGTACAGCATTTAGGCTGGTTCCAAGTGGAGTTCTGAAAACTGTGATTCTAAGGTCCAGGGGGCGACCTACTTCAAAGGCGAAATAACAACCAAAGAATCTGAAAATGGCCGTGTATGAAACAGATCTCATGAACTGGGGCCCTGTACCTGCACATGAATCTGGACAGGACATTTTCTGTTGTGGGACATTGCCTTGGATCATGGGTTAGATGGTCAACTGTACTCAAAACTAGTAATGTATGTATGTACACACACACACGTGTGTGGGGGTATTGCTCAGAGAAGACTTGGCAGGCAGGATGCCATTCCCACAGAATAATCAGGCTTGCTTATTTTCAAGCATTGCAATAGGGTGCGCTTCTGTCACTGGTTTCTGACTACGGACAGGTCACGTAGCTTCTTGAGACCCCAGCTTCAAAATTAAGTCAGGTTTTTCTCTCTGGAGCGGCATCCAGCTTGACCTTTAATGGCTCTATGACTAGAAGAGACTCTAAATCTAATAATGGACCCATAATACACACAAAAAAGAGCTTCCTGGTCAGGATACCATAAAAACTGACGATATTAAGATGAAATCCTTCTTATCAGACTTAAAATTAGAGCCAGACTGTATTACTAGGGGAAGCATGTTCATGCCTGTCTGAAGTACTTTCTTGGCTCGTAAGATCCGTTTTTGTTCTAAAACACTGTTTATGCTTTGCACACCTCTCCCACTGTGGAGGAAATTATCCGTGTTGGGTTTGGGGAGGAAGCAGAGAAAACTCACTTTAGAAGGAAGCTTAAAAAAAAATGAAAGCTTTATTTTCTGAGCACTCAGGCAGACCGTCAGCTCGGGATTTGAACCCCTGTCCTGGAGGGGAAGCGGTATTGCATTTTTAAAGGCTAAGATTGCAGAACTAGGAGGGCTAGGGTGAGCTGCAGGGTCTTCCAATTATAATTTGGTGTTGAGGGTTAAGCAAGAGAGTATCTGTTGGAGACTGGGCCTCACCCAGGGCACCTGGCTTCAAGGCCCTTAACTCTTCCTCCTAGACCTTTGGTCTGGAGCTCTAGGTGATAAGGGGACAGAGGAGTGTGTCAGCTGTATATAGTTAATAAGGGCTTGGCAGGAAATTGGTGTTATAGATAGATAGATAGATAGATAGATAGATAGATAGATAGATAGATGATAGATAGATAGATAGATAGATAGATAGATAGATAGATAGATGGATGTAGATATATCTGTCTATATTTATAACTTAGGCACCTTGGTCAAGATAACAGCAAGTTCTGCATTATTTATTTATTTATTTATTTATTTATTTATTTATTTATTTATTTAAGGGGTTTAGCAATTAAGAAAAACACTTAGAGGGGCACGGTAAGAGCTACTCCCGGAACCTGGGAAAATGAACTCAGATTGACCCTGCTAACAAAAAGGGGAAGAAAAATGGAAGAGCTGCTTTGGCTGGGCTGTGGCGACTGTCTCCTTCCATCCCTAACTTTAAGACTGCGTCAGTCCATCCAAATGTTCATACAGAATAGTTTCCCAGAAATCCTATACAAACGAACCCATCCCAACTCTCCTCCCACCTTCAAAACCTACAATCTTGATATCAAGAAGCGTACGCAAATGTATCTTTTTTTAAACTTTAGAATAAGATCCTTCCTCAAACCTTCTCGAAGATAACCGCAGTTTACTCTTGTTTGCTTACTCTCTCCACAACGCTCTGCTCTTCCCAAGTAAACATCATTGTAGAGAACCTCTAATTGTTGTTAATGTCATCAATGACTTGGTGAAAGAAATTATGGGGCAGTTGCAAAACAAATCAATCCAGCACTGTTAAAATCCAGGCTTTCCATTCATCTTCCATTGGTACTGGACTAGAACATACTACAAAGGTGAACATTTAACCAGTCCAGGGTCAATGGTGCTAAAAGTCTAGCAGTCTGTGCCCAGGTGCTCCACCACTTTGTCTAGTGTTATATGGAATAAAGTCAACGGCATTGTCTTTGCTTTCCTGTCATTTAGAGACTATTTCCCTGGCTCCCAGAATGCCTTATAAGTTCTCTGTCAAGGGTTGAGGGCCCAGGAAATGTTCCTGTTTCCATATTAGCATTCCTATGGGTGCCAACCCTGTAGAGGTCTTGTTTAGACAGTCATGGTCATGACACATCATGGGTGAAGCTTCTCTGACATTTCTAGGAGAGGAAATCTCACAGCAAATTCCTCTTCCTCTGGCTCTTACACCATGTGTAACAACAATTAAAAAAAAAAAAAACAGATTCCATGAATTTTATTTTTAAAAAGGGGTGGGGGTAGTGATACATGAGAAGAGTTGGAGGGAGAAAAGGGAAATGAAGAAATGATGTAGTTATATTTTTAATTTTAAAAACTGTTTTATAACAAAGAAAGAACCAGGAATAAGAGCTATTCTAAGACTTTCAAAGTTAAACCTCAGGGAAGATTACATTTTCCAGTGTATTATCTGGGGTCATTCCCTCTGATAGTTCTGGGCTGATGTGTAAATTCCACTCCCTTGAGACTGCCTTGCTGCTGGGCAGGACTGTCAACTAATTCCTGACTCCAGTATCTCCCGTTCAGTGTGAATTGCTTCAGGTTGAATCCATTCCCCAGATGAATCTCATTCAGTAAGATTCATTGATGCCACTTGGGACAAAATAAGCACCCAACAGAGCGCTGCTCAGATTTCCAGGTCATGAAACGACAGTGCTCCGCTCTACAGTGAGAAGCACGTACACAAGCCCAAATAACCGCTGCAGTTAAGCTCTTACGTTTTCCTATACCTTTTAACATTTTTATCACTGTCTATAGGGTTATAGATCATTTGCCAAGATGTCAAACCTGTTTATTAATGAATTTTGTATGAAGCATTATAAAAACATAATATAGAAAAACCCTTAAAGTTCATTTAAAGCAATAATTTGCCTACATTGTATCCAATATATGTTTTTTTAGTAGTTAATTCTGAATGTCTCTTAGGTCCTGTAAGGAAAAAAAAAAAAAAAAAGAATTACCCTTGATGAATAGCCAATTGAAAAAAAATTCCTGCTTTTAAGAGTATATGACATTCGTGTATTACCAGTTAAGCGTATTTTTAAAAATTCATCATTTTGCTGGATAAGGTAGTATACCACTGTGTTAATTAGGATTGCTTTTGCTGCAGTGAAACACGATGACCAATAAAATGACTTTGGGAGGAAAGAGTTTATTTCATCTTACAAAATGTCAGGTTGCATCTCACCACTTAGAGAAGTCAGAACAGGAACTCAAACAGGGCAGGAACACAGTGGCAGCAGCTGATGGACCAGGGAGGGGTGCTGCTTACTTGTTTGCTCCCTGTAGCTTGCTCAGCCTACTGAACCAGGGCCATTAGCCCAGGGCTTGCCTCACCCACAATGGGCTGGGCCCTCCCATACCCATCACTAATTAATAAAATGCCTGGTCTTGCCTACAGCTGCTTCATATGGAGGTGTTTTCTCAGTTGAAGCTCCTTCCTCTCAGATGACTTTTAGCTTGTATCTCGTTGATATAACTCAAACTAACCATAAAACTAACCAGCACAACCCCTCTAGGACTGTCGACTCAGAAGATTAAGGTGGGAGGTTTAATTTAGCCCTGGAATTCAAAATCAACCCAAGAAACAGAGGGGGAAATTGTCTGAAAACAAAACAAATTTTATTACTTAGCCCAATCCTGGGAAACACCTTAATTTATCAATGTATATGAGTTCTAGTCATTATTCATCTAATACGCTTTTAAGGATATCAAATTAAGCGCTACTGTAAACTGTATGTGACAAGGGGAGAATGTACTATTAGAATGAACAGTAATGAAGCATGGCTTCTGCCTTCCTGCACCCAGATTCTTCTGGGGTCCACACAGGTACTACTGCCCCACTGCTTCCAATGTTCTCTTGGAAGCATTGAAAGGTTTTAAAAAGGAACGAACATTTCAGAACCCAAGGCTTTTGGAAAGATTCCCAAATGCCTCTGGCATAACTAGCATTTGATTTTCTATAGTGAGTTGTGTTTTAAGAATATTAACAGAGGAGGTCTGTTGTTGTGTATGTCTTTTGAGACTCTTCCAAATAAAAGCAGAGGTCAGACCAAGGCCTACATAACCTAAGGTAAGGTGTTAATTCTGCAGCAGCTCCCAGAGGCCTAGAGGGAGAAGAAAAAAGATGTTTCAAAGAAACCATCATATGCTTTATTAGCCCCTTCCAGGAGCCACAGTAGAAGCCTCTGCTAACACTTACAGAGGCAATGTGCCCTTGAGAAGATGGTCCTGAGACCCCACCCAAGGACTCCAGAACACACCTTCCCACAGGATACAACCTGTACAACCTCTCCTGGAATCTTTGACCAAACCAGGACTCAATGGAAATTTCCCAAGATTTCTCTTTTTCCAAGAAAGGAATCTGTGAATATAATTTAGTTTGTGAA